TCCTTGTGCACTGAAGATCATGGAGAAATTACGAATCCTGCAGCCGACAATATTACAAGTACACAAAATCTCCAGATCCCATGTTTCTGGTATTCCTCCCTGTCCTTATTATTAAAATATAAACCCCACCAGCTTAGCTCTGCATGCAAGACACTGCTCTTTGTTGTGGCGATTGCCGCCATGCTTGGGACTGATACGGTTGTATGCTTTTATTTCACCCGGCACTCCAGCGGATCCGTCGTGATTCAACAGCCATTATCAATGCCCAACACATGTCGGCCTGCCTCTAACTGTCCTAGTAGCACACTGACCACAACAGGGGAACCAAACACACTAATCCATTGTGGGCTCCAAATGGATCCTGAACAATTGTTTGGCATTTGCAGTACTCACATGAGATTGCAAAGAGTATGTCTTATTCTGTGTGAGGAAATAACAAGAAGGACAATGGATTTATCCCGTTTTGAATGCTGGACGGGTCAATCTTATAATACTCTGCGACATTTCAGCAGGAAACACGCTCCAAGAAAATTAGCCATACATGTAATATTAATCACAGCATGCACACTTTGAGTCACCCCCATAAGAGGCTTTTCATATATAAGACTCATACGCTCTACATATTAATGCATGTAATAGCACTGACAATAGAGAAAACCGCCCTTCACAATCCATTTGCCCTGTGCCTTTCTTCCTGGTTACACATTAGGGATGGTGTCAAAACTGAGCCGATTATTACACAAGGAAATCAAGCCATCTGACACGCCGATCAATGGACGCCTTGACTGATGGGTCTCCTATCTAGATGAACGGCCCCCTAGAGGGGTTCCTCGCTCACCATCATTGCAGAGGGAGAGGGGGGGTGGATGCAACGACACTGATTGTCAAGGTCACCTCTCGGCCAAAGTGATGACGCGGTGCATCAGACCGACCTGAGAACAGATCACGCAGCAAGATTTGACCACAGATTGAAGGATGCGCAAAACAAAATAGACAAAAAAAGCACCTTATTCATGGGGAAAATGTCGATGTCTCGTGTGTGGAGCCATTACAGCTTGGTCTGAAACGCATAATGACTGCTGTTCATTAAAGCCGACCCATGAGAGATGTGAAAAAATGCCCTTGTGGCATCTTTGGCTTCTTGAAAACCCACTTGAAGCCTTCAGGGACGGGTTGCTCATTGTGATCCCCTCCAGCAGCAGCAGCAGCAGCAGAAAGCAAGCTGTCCCTCATTCTGGGGAGGGAGTAGATACGAAGACTTTGACATTGAATACAGCCCCAGGCTATTTGGATGGCCCACCGATAAAGCTGGTCATCTGTTGAACTGCAAATGAGAGGTCACATGGAGCTGCTCACATGCAAGGAAAGCCAGCTCTCAGTCATGTACTGATCTAAGTGGTGTACATGTAAACACACGAGGGCATTCAAGATAAAGAAAAAAGATATTATATGGTGTAACGCTTTATATCATATATCTTTTTAACCTGTTAATGTTATTATTGGTCTGTTTGCACTCTGTAAAGCACTCTGAACTGCTCTGTCTATGAGCGGTACATTGTAAATAAACTTGTCTTTTGCCTTTGCCATCTGTTTTTACCATGTGGAGTTAACAATCCTACAAACTACCCGTACAGAAGTTAAGCCCAGCCTACAGTAACTTTGATATTTGTGAGGCACTGCCCACGACCGTTTCACCTGGAGTCATGCCACCCACCTCCAGCAGTAACTGGATGTTTTAAGCTTCAGAGTCTTTCTAATCAAACTACTTACTTTGTAGAGAACTGCTGTTTTCCTTGAATGCATGATTATGTATATACTATGATTTCATACTGGAATATTGGCTCCTTGGTATGCAGGACTCAGCTCGATTTTCTGAATAAAAACTACAAGTATTAAAAGTGTGCCTCATACATTAAATTTTACTGAAATTTCTCTCCCGGATCAAGATTTTCCCAAAGAACAGATGTGCTTTTTTCGCACCACAAACTCTTCTCCACTCCGTTTTTCCTGCACTTTTTCCTCCCTCAGCCATCCATAAAGTGAACTTGGCAGTTGGCACCAAATGAACTCCAACTAATCTGACTGGGGCTGACAGCTTGCTGGTGCTCAATGGTTCAAAAACATGTATCCAGGGCTCCATCTCGAGTCAAAAGTCCGCTTGCAGATTTGAGTGCATGACACGTGTACTTGAAATATGTGTTCTTGTTTTTAGTGCAACAACAGGCATCTTGTCCATTGTGTGCATTTTGCACACTAATTTTGCAAAGATAACGAAACTATGATTAATTGTGCATTAGTTCATGGTGTTTAAAGATCACCTGGTGTTGCAGGTGTCTCAACAAGCGTGGGTTTGGTGGTTAATCCTTTGCCCTATAATACTTTAGTCTAGCAGGTAAGGTGGGGTACGCAGGGATCCGTTAAAGAAGCATTTTTTTTGTGGTGTATATAAAAAAAAGCTTTTAATATCAGCCAATGGCTTTTAGTTATTGATGACATTTGGGAATATCATGATATCGCTGTGTTTTGTTATGTCTGTGTAGTCAACCTTTAAAACTTTTCAGCGGTCCGCTCATTTTGACTGTAAACAAAGCCGTGCTCCAACTCCCCAACCTGATTGGTTGTGAGGCGGACGCTGCTCTCAGTGCTGTGAGGCATGCTCCACGCCCTCAAATAATCACGAGCCCAAACAAAGTTAGCGTGTTACAATATCGGACTGTAGAAACCAAACAGAAAGTATGGAAAATTTTCTGAATCCTCCTTTGGCCACGACTGCCAACACACGCAAGAAAACAAAGTAAATACTGGAGACTCTGGCGGAATAAAGGGGGCTTAAAAATGAGGTAGACCGGACAAGAGCTAAAAAGGCCGGGTCAACAAAAGCAAAAACGATGATGGGGAACGCTTCGGGATCTTACGGACCCTGTAACCTTTCTGCTGGACAGGTAAACCTCTTTAGTTACAGAAGTGTTTCTTGTCAAATGGGACCTGCTGCATGTTGAGGCACCGCTAAATGGTTTACCTCGGGTCCTGGACTATGTCACTTTATCCTAGTTGTCCTGCAAACATCGTGTTTGCTGGTAGTCTGTTGGCATCTACAGTAGCACCAATGCTTTTTACTTCCACGATGACTGGGACCCATTTTTAATTATCTCAAGCATTTATCTGCATTATGTCTGAATTTAACTGGAACGATAAGAGCGAGGGCGAGCGTCTGTTTGTGGGTGGGGCTTCCTGGAGCAGAGAGGAAAACTGGTTGGGAGGGGTAGAGTTTACATTCAAGATTTCTCCCCCAAAACTGGCACTTCCTCAGGGGTCCGTTTCACGTAGGTGGTTCAACAAACTCTGAGTTAAATCCTTAACTCTGAGTTGATCTACTCTGAGTTAGGAAACTCTGAGTTTCCGGTTTCACAACACCTGATTTGAGTCAGATTTATCAACTCCGAGTAGTTTGACCTGGAGTTAAGCACGTGCACGCCAGACATAAACAGCCAGCATCTGTGGAGCCCAGATTCATTGATCAACCAATGGAAACAGGGAGAAGGAGGGGGCAGCAGCAAGCCAACAGCGAATTACAGCACGTTTTTAAAGAAAGTGCAATACAGCAGCAGCTGCAAAGGAGAGGGAGAGGGCATGGGAGGAAATCGCTGCTCGCGTCAATGCGTAACTTTAAATCTAGTCTTGTGCAATCACAATGACAGACTGTTCCAGGGAAACTGCGTGCATGGAGCAAATTAATTTATTTTATGTAGGTGCAATCCAGCGGGACAAAAGCGCACTTGACAGCAGCTGATAATTAAATATAAAAACATTGTGCAAAAAGGCGAGACATCTGCATTTTCTCATTTTGATCATGTTTTACATTGTCAAGGTAGTATTAAGAGGCAGTTTGATCCCTTACAAAATGCTCTTTTCACACTCAAAAATGAATTTTACTCTCTTATGATGTTCCGTTAAATGATTAGGAATATTAAACTAACACAAAAACGGGTGGTGGCCCAGCAGCCCCACCTTTAACGGAGGAGAGGAGCTGCCGGCCCCCCCCCCCCCCGTTCGACGATCGCAGCCGGTCCGATCGCAACCCCCCCGTAGCAGCGACTGGTGTGTATCGGACCGGCCGCGATCGTCGAACGGGGGGGGCCCGGCAGCTCCTCTCCTCTGTTAAAGGTGGGGCTGCTGGACCACCACCCGTTTTTCTGTTAGTTTAATATTCCTAATCATTTAACGGAACATAATAAGAGAGTAAAATTCATTTTTGAGTGTGAAAAGAGCATTTTTTAAGGGATCAAACTGCCACTTAATACTTACTTGACAATGTAAAACATGATCAAAATGAGAAAAATGCCGATGTCTCACCTGAAACTCTGGGTTTACTGAGTTAAACCTGCTCCCGAGCAGGTTAGGTTCACGGAGTCTGTTACTACGGTAACTGACCGCGAGGTTGAGTTACCTCTCTTTGTGAAACAGGTTAGAGTTACCCCTCTCTCCCTGGTTTAACTGACCCTCCTTTGTGAAACGGAAAACTCAGAGTTTCCCTGATTTCAGGGTTAACAAACTCGGAGTTTCCATTAAACCTGCTACGTGAAACGGACCCCAGATCCTGCCTACCCCACCTTTGAGCTAAGTATTTAAATGGAAATCCGTAGACATTTCCATTAACTTCAGATGCATTTGAAATCCTTTGAACATTGACAGCTAAGATGATGAATGAGGCGGCTTGTACCTGTTAAACAGAACAATGTTAATGTGATTTTTGCATAAAATTTAAGTACTCTTCAGAGCATGGCTGTTGATTCTCAGTCTTGTCAACACGAGCTGGGAGCAGGAAATAAAAAGGCGCATCCAATACGAGGTTTGTAGTCCCCTCCCCTTGAGAAATTCACAAACAAATCTTCGTCTAAACCAGGACAGAAACCTTCAAATATGCTGAGCGTGGCTGCATTGATCTAACTGCATGACTGACAAGAGAAGTGTTAATAGGGTGGAGAAATACGCACACGCTGTTTGAAGAGTTATGGTTTGGGACTCCCTCTCTTCAGCTTGGTACATCTGCTGCTTAGTAATTGACACAACATGAATTATACCTTATAGGGTTCCTACAAGTTCAAAGCAGCCATCTTGGTACAAAAACAGGCCTGGTTACAAATGCACACTGACACTACAAACATCTCTGCTCTGCTTCTCCGCCGCATTTAATGCAAGGTTCTCCGCCAGCTTACAGGTGCAAGTCCTGGCGTTGGCGCTTCAGACCATGTTCTTTTGTTTCTCTTTTCCTTTTCATTCTCCATCAAGAATAAATACATTTATCTTCTAATGGGATCCCCTTTGATAAAAAGCAGTCTTCTGTCATGCTGTTGCAGTTGCCAGAGTGTTGGATGGTGAGAAACTCCAGGTTAAGTACTTTCTTTTATCAATGCTCCTTTTTATATGCAAATCATCCTGCCCGCCCATCTATTTACTGTTGCAGGTATTCAGACAGGGCCTCAAACCGTGCCAGCCGCAGACCGCAGCCTGCCATCCAGCGCAAGCGTGGGACTTGAAATAGATTTGATTAGGATTCAAAAATACGCCTTTGATCTGACGTTTGTTAGGCAAATGCAGCCACATGACAATATGCTTGAGAGGACGGAGTGATTCTGCTGGCGTTTACAAAATAATGGACAATCTAATTGTACCGTAATGCCGAGTGTGCGCAGTTATTAATTTGCGAGGTGCAGTGAGCCAGAAACTTGGTTCATTTGCATCCGGTTGTGACGGGTTGAGAGAGGCAGTGGTTTGGCCTCAAATAAATATGCTGTTGCTTGTAGATAATCAGCACTCTGTTGCTGTGTGGCACTAACTCTCTACCTGCTGTCACCATGAATAGACTGTCATTCTGTCAATAAATAGGAAATGCAGGGCGGGAATTTCCAATAATTAGATTTAGCATTACATAGTAGGATGCTTATTGCTCACTCGAATTCTGCAAATTCAATCCCAGTGAACTGATTTAGTCTTTCTGTTGGGAAAAAAAAAAAAACTGGTTTGCAGCTGCAGTCGAGGAAAAAGAGGCAAAAATGCTGTCAGGGCTAAACATAGAAAACCCAACGTATCAAAGCGTAATCATTACAGCAATCTCACTGCTCCCATTACAGCGTCTTTAAATCTGACACTTCTGCTTTTATCCAGTCACTCGCTAAAGTGCACGGCAGACACACCAGAAATGAGCTGATGTCATTTTAAATGTTGAGTCATACACCCAAAAGACCTCGATGACCCAGATCAAGCCCATCATGCATTATTTAAACCGTGGGGAAAAGTGTCATTTGAGAGTTAACCCATTTTCTGGAATTAAAATCACAGATGGGGACTTGAATTTGACGACACATATAGATTTGTTAGCAGACTCTGATTCCAAGAACTATTATATGGTGGCACTGCAGGGAGCTATTTTATCTTTCATTAATCCGAGGCCCGCTACAATGATTGGACCAAATAAGCCACTCAACATTCATTATTAACTACATTACACTCTTTTCTCTGATGAGCTGTAATTCTACTTGCATGGGCACAGCTGGAGGGCAAGCACAAAGCTTTTAACCTAGCTAACGCCATGCTAGTTGGAATTTGCAGTGGGGAGTCTATTAAAGGAAGTCTTCTACATAGGTAAACACTGTGAGATTAGTAGCAGTCGGCTAACTCGCATAATTAAATTGTTGTCATAGCACAATGACAGTCCGTGTCCTTTTTTCCCTTCTCAGCCATGGATAAACAAGAGCCTATTTTTTGCTCTTTTGGGCGTGGGCTCAGGCTGACTCAAAAAGCTCCCCCTTACTTTAAGCCTTTTCAGGCTGTAATTGACAACACTTGATGCTCAGGCTTTGGAAAAGTCCACGGATTTCCCTGGATTAGAGTGTGGGGGCCAAGGCTGCTCCATCCTCTGCAACTGGATTAAATCACTTGATTGGTAAGGAAGCTAAAGAGACGGCTGTGGCGGATTGCCAAGATATAAGGTGCTTGCTCTGCATCCGGGGGTGAAAGGTTAACCGCGCCGTCCAGAAGAGCTTCAAACCGCTTGGCCTTGACAGTGCGGGTCAGAGGATGGCAGCCGTAAATCACACGCCAATGAACTGCTATCAAAGTGCAGCATCAGGAGACTTCTCTGACAGGTGGAAAAAAGCGCCTCCTCGCCATATTTTCAAATGTTTTATTACTTACGCAGAGGAAAGTCTCACATAGGCTTTCCTCTCAGTGTAAAAAACACAAACACGTTACTCACACACAGAAGCCTCCTGCACATACACAGCACATGCTCGAATACACCCAAGCCTCTTATTTCCTAACTGTTCTCACTCAGCGGTCACACATCCTTGACTTGTTTCTTCCACATCAGTTCATGGTGTCATAGGCTCCCTCCCTCCCTCCCCCTCTCTCTCTTTCTCTTTCTTCCTCTCTCTCTTTCTATCTATCACACACTCACTCTTGCTGTATCTTTCTCTGCACCACAGCATCCCTGAGGCTTGAAGCTTTGAATAGTTTGGGTGCAAAAGTGGAGTCTGCTTCAAATCTCATTTTATGATTCATAATGCAGTGGGTCCTTTAAAGTTCTAATCCATGATTGGTTTATAGAGGCATCTCCACTGAAGGTCCAATACGCAATTTCTGCCTCATGCAAAAGAGTCCACACAGGGTGCATTCAGTTCTCAGTGAGGACGCTACGCTCCACGGTGGTGTGCTTTAAAAGGGATGGCCAGTGTGGTTCAGTACGAGTTACTTAATAAGGATTAAAGCTTACCAGAACCTTCAACAACACTGAGGGGTTATGTGGTCAGTTTGTTTGCAAGCAGAATATCTTAATATACTCCACTACATTTCAATAATAGATGGAAGAAATACAAAACATGTGTAGGTTGATGCTGTCGTTGTGGTGAGCTCCATAGTTCGACAGATACAGACTTGACGGTTCATTCGTGACCTTAAGAATTGCCGTTCGACCCTGAAATATCTTATCACACGGTCCTTTTACTCTGTCTTTTTGAAGTTTTAAGCCACATAACACAGCCAAACTTCGCTCCATTTCAAGGTGATGATTTTATTATGACTTTTATCCAACACATAAAAATCCTGCAATGTCATAAAAGATGACAGTTTGTAAAATTTTTATGCAGCAGATTCTTGCAGCCTCATCTACATTTTATAACTGTCAAATTATTTTCTTTTAAAGTGGGGATTAAGTACTTAATGTCAACACTTAATAGCAATAGACATATTGTTGATTGCATGTTTAAAGAAGGAGTATGGAAAGAAATCTTCACCTGTGTCGGAATGAAGATCTAAACCAATATAAAAAAATGTGGCAGAGCTTTAACAGTCTGTAAATTTACATACACAGTTAAAGGCACAGTAAGGAACTTTTGGTTTGAGTCAGTTTTTGCACCCCTGTGAACAAAGAAGTCTATTAAATCTAGGAATGTCCCGATTTGATATTGATATCGAATCGAAAAGTCCGATATCAGCAAAAAACCGAATATCGGATTATGTAGGCCTGCATCCAAAATCTCCAATATCAGCACTCCAATACAAGCAGTCCATTCCAGACTCCACTCTGGCAACTCTATCTAGCATGCAAAGCCCATGTAATCACAACAACAGTGTCTACTAAGGTACAATCAAAGAAGCAGAGAGTAGGAGTGATGTCGGTTGTGTGGCAGTATTTTTTGTTTAAGTCTGCAAAGACGTTGCAGCTGAGTGCAAAACTTGTCATACAGAAGTTTGCACCAAAATTGGATCGATATCGGTATCGGCCAGTACTGAAGGCTACAATATTGGTATCATATCGGAAGTAAAAAAAAGTTGTTTTGGGATATTTATAATTATAACTCAGGTTGTTGTTGTTTTATTTTAGAGTAAGTTGTATCACTTGTTGATATTCAGTGTTGAAAATGTAAAATCAGGTCCTTCTCTTCAGTGGCTCCACTGACACCTACCCCCTCACACTGGTTTCAAGCATTGAAAATCACAGTTAAAAAAGTCACTCTTGCTGCTAATGGTCTTGTTTACTTTTGAATACCATAAAAAGTCATGGATATATATTTCAGTCTATATAATGAAGGTCAAATACTCCTTAAAGGAGCTTCAAGTTGAGCAACAGCCAGAGCTTAATCAGGCTATTTAACTGAACTCTCGTCATTGTCCCAGTTTACAAGCACCATGCAAGAACTGAATTACCACCTCTGTCTAAATTTTTCACTTCTATCCACCTACCACTGCTGGCAGCCTTAATGTTTTAATGTATAAACATAGAGTCTACTTTTTACATGATAAATGTTTCCTGTGTTTTGAACAGATGACTTAAATGTGTGTGGAAGTGCCAAAAACCCCAAAAAGAATCATAATCTGACTCTGCAGCTCTCCTCTGCTTTCCAGAGCTTTTAACGTCTTCTACATCATTGATTCGGTTTAACAGCCAAAACATTTACTGTTTGGTTCGCTCTCTCTCTCCCTCCTCATCAGCATAGTCCACCTGTCCAGCCCCAAACAGCAGACAGACATAGTTATTGTCTGGCTGGTAAAATTAGTGCCGCATTTAGCAGCTAAAGAGCCAGATATATTTCTCTGAAGACTGGGGAGAGAAAGAAAACAAAGCAAAATGGAGCGTATTGGATTTATATCCAGGTGGACTGAATACTAATGTGGCGTAGTATCTGCTGGATTTTGCTAGAGGCAGCTGCTAACGAATTTGCCATTTGAACTGAAGTGTAGGAAAATACACCGCTTCTGTGGTAACAGCTTGTTTCCATTTCTTTTAAGCATTAAAAAATTAGCTGTTGCGAGTTTGAACAAAAAAGGGAAAACAAGTCTACCCAATGCATTACATAGATCTTATACACGCTTTGATTCTGATCCAGATCCAAAGTAATTCTGAGACGAAAACTGCCAAAAAGCAATTATATATCTTTGGCAGGGGTGTGCTTTAATCTAAGAGAACTTAGACTTTTTGTAGTTAAATCATAAAGTTTTCCTCTTCAAAAATCAAGAAGCATTTACAGGCTGCATGAGCAATCACCTTTTCGTGCCCCAGATGAAGAAATCCCCCCTACCACGGCTGACCCTCTGTCTTTGCTATAATACTGTTCATCTGTCATGAGTTAAGGAGACACACGGTAGCAGAGAGGGCCAGTGGAAACCTGACAGCAAACTCCCACGATGCCTCTAAGAGCCATTTTAACATCCAGAGCTACAGCAGGAGGAAGCGATCACAGAGCCTTGATTTGGCAGGTCCTGTGCAGTCATTGTCTCAGGGGTGATAAACGGCCTCCACAGCCACAGCCAGCCACAGCCCAAACTAATTACAGGACTGGCAGGTCCGGTGTTCATTGTGGGGCTTTGCAAACCACTCGTGCCCAGTTTTCTATCTGCAACCTCATTCATGTTAAAGGCCGTTACCACAAAGCCTTCAGAGTCAGGTGAAAGAGCTATGATGTAGTACAATGTTTGCTCTCTAACAATGGAAACACGCCGCGTTGGAAAAGTCCTGCCATGTTGAATGAAGTCCATTTCTTTCTATTTTTTTTTTTTTCACCTGAGGGAGAGTTAGACATCATACAGGTCCATCACTGCCTGTTTACGCCTCACAGAACCAATGTTAGGTGAAAATCTTCAAAGGAGCCCACTGTGCCGCCACTTAGGCAGATAATATGTTCCACTATAAAAGGGCCTTTCATTGACATTTAAATACCATTCCATCCCCATCATTCCGCACAATGCTGAGAAAATGCCTTTCTTTAATACCACCTCCGCTATTGCTTCTACTTTTCAAGTGAACCAAAATATTAGCATTAAACCCCGTCCTCATGGAGTATATAACCACTCTTTTTCTTCCTCATTTCTTGTCGAGTCAGAGGCACAGGGAAGAAAGTCACATTTAACTTTATCTTCCGTGGTCAATCTATTTAACACTGTAAGCAGACGGGAATGGTTGGAGTGAACGTGTCTGGGGAAATATCAGGGGCCCGGAAGACGTCCAATGATGCTGTGATTTATAGTTTCATTACTGCACGTACGAGGAAAGATCCCAGTGTGAATCTGTGCTGTGAACATCTCTGTGTGTCACAGTGCCTATTAACATCACTCACACAGGAAAACACTTGTAGGTCAGGGGGATATATGCCACCCTTACTCTTGGATGACTTTACTGTGGCATTTGACAAAACTTTATAGGCAGAGTAACTTAATTAAAAAGTATGATCAACTTATGCTGACAGATGGTGATGTAAAAATTATATTTGAAGTGGCAAACAATATCTGGTGAGCCCAGTTAGCTTGTCATGCTTCTACTTTATTATACAGTACATCAAAGCCAGAGGAGAGTAAGAGGAATATGCTAACTTCCCTTGAGAGAGCCATATCTGACAGATTGCATTTTTCCACCCATAAAACATTCATGCAATGAATCACTTAAAATATCGAAATACAGGAGAGCTGCCTGGGTGAAAAGAATAGATTTCTATTTCATCCCCCTGAAAACATTCCGTCATATAACTTACTTTCGGAAATGAAGGGAGAGAAGAAGGATGCATAATGCATCTGTAATGGGCTGAACAAAAGGGATACATATCACAGGTATTCATGCAAGGCTATTAGTCTCTTATTGAACAGTGTTACGCGGAGCTTTCTTCGAAAGGCCAACAGATAATGTGATCACTCTGATAAACTGACTTGTTATTAATAGATCTGGTCTAGACTGTGTCCCGGAGTAACTGAAACTTTCCAAACACTAGGAATAAATCAAACCCTAATACTAGACTTGCTTTTCTTGTTTTCTTGTATCTTGTAGTGGTATGTCGATGATACTTTCAACTGTACCAAAGAATATTGTAATATTAAAGCACCTATAAGGAGTTTTTGACTAGTTATAGAACAAACCAAAACTAATACTAACACTAATTTATAGATGTTTTAAGCTACTATGCAAACAACTTGAGCACTGGAATGAAAGTTTCCAGGTAGCAGGGTCACTTATTTAAACACCGTTAGTCTTACCTTTAGTACAAAGACCAAAAACATAACCAACAAGTCTATACCAGCAATTTCTCGTAAACAGATCAAAACATGGGGGATTAAATCCAAGATTCTGAAGAAAGAACTTAAAAGCGGTATAACAACTTAATTGAAGTTAACATTGCTGATGTCGAGTGTAAAATCACTGTACTTACACATTGTATTACTAGCTAAGTCACATATAGGCGACCAAAAAATGTTAGCATTTAAGCAGTCAGCTATAAAAAAATCAATTTTTTTCACTTCACCTGTTGTAGCAATGATTATAAACAAGAAACTGTTAACCAGGAAGTGGCTAAGTGCTACTGTTAGCTGTGCTCTGGTGTTAGCAAATGGGTTTTGAAATATGTTTTTTTATTTAAATTGTGGTCCAAAGTCTCTTCATAAATAATCACTATCCATTGTCTTAGTAGCTAGGAACTGCACATGAAGTATTGAAATAATAAGACATGATAAACAAATCTAAGCAAACCGTCTTGAGCGTGATATCCCAAGAACATGGCTGAGATTAGCCCAATTTGTGACATCACAGATTAGTGAATCACATTTCCAGAGTTATTCCCTTAGTTAATTTTCAGGGTCAGTTAAAGAGTCAAATTATAGCACTATTTTTCATTCTTTGTCAGTTGAGATAAAGGGATACCGGTGTGCTCAATGAGGACTACTCTGGAGCATGGCAACAGTGAAAGAGGATTCCAGAGCACTGACCAATGAGAAGAAAGTCGGCTTGTGGGAGGGGACCTGAAAACGACTTCCTCCAAACCTTTTAATATAAGCTGGTGACTGAGTTACTGCTTGCTAACAGGTTGGAAACTAATATAAACAGTTTGTAGGTGTTTAGGTGCACAGGTGAGGCACAGATGGTACTGATGATGACAGGTGGCTCAAAAATCTACTTATCCAGGTTCATCTGAAGTTTCAAAGTAGCATCAATAAACATGACACTGGTTCAGCTGAAACCTGATATAGTCATCCCTTTTGGCAATCGGCACTAATGTAAAGAAATAGCTCTCTTTGTCTCAGCAGGCTGCAGGCGCATGTCAGCGTCTGCGTTTGATTGACGGCGGCTGACGGGGTGACAGAGTGTCAGTGCAGCACACAGAGAGAAGTGAGAGACAAGGTAAACAAACTTCTGCTACTGCTACAAGTCACGGGGAGACAGTTTGTTGTTTGCAGTGATTTTTGAAGAGTGAGGACCCCCCAAGCATATGACCTCAAGTGACACTTTCTGGTGTGCTAACTTATTGTTTAATGTGCCTACATGGCAGTGCTCCACTGATTTAAAGCGGGAGCTCAGGGCCCAAACATGAAATCAAAAATAACACTATCAATCACATAAATCCTAAAACTCTGAGTTGTAGTTAGAAGGAATGTTCAATGTAATGTCAGATGGACGTGGTTTATTTAGTGGATACACTCTGATCATTAAGACCAGGGTCAGGACCATCTCAATATCTTCGTTTCAAATAGGGGATGATGTTTTTTGGGTGTGTGGCTACAGGGAGTAAAATCCAGACAGGGTGAGACAGCACAATCATGCTTTCAACACATTACCCCAGCTACCAACTGAAG